TCCTTCCTCCCTCCCTCCCTTCCTCCCTTCCTTCCTTCCTACCTTCCTACCTTCCTTCCTTCCTTTTTTTTTTTTTTTCAGTCCTGGGGTTTGAACCCTGGGCCTGGGCGCTGTCCCTTAGCTCTTCAGTTCAAGGCTAGCCCTCTACCACTTGAGCCACAGCGCCACTTCATTTTCTGGTGTTTAACTGCAGATAAGTCTCACGGACTTTCCTGCCTGGGCTGGCTTTGTGCCTCGATCCTCCGATCTCAGTCTCCTGAGTAGCTAGGCTGACAGGTGTGAGCCACCGATGCCTGGCTTCCTTCTTTTCTCTTTCCCTCTTTTTGGTGTCAGCACTGGGGGCTTGACTCAAGTCCTTGTGCCTTTGTTTGTCTTTTCATTCAAGACTGATGCTCTACACTTGAACCATGCATCTGTACTTCCAGCTTTTTGCTGGTTAATTGGAGAAAATAGTCCTTTCTGCTGGGGTTGGCTTTGGACCTTGATCCTCAGGTCTCGGCTTCCTGAGAAGCTAAGATTACAGGGGTGAGGCACCGTGCCCACCACCTCAAGTGTTCTTGCTCAGCTTTTTTACTTGGTGCTGGTGCCCTACCATTTGAGCCACACCTCTAGTCAGCATTTTTACTGGTTAATTGGATATAAAGTCTCAAGGATATTTCTCAGGCTGGCTTCAAACCTCATACCTCAGCTGGCTGCGCTTGATAAGTTCTGAACACCAGGTTCACAAGTTCAAGTAGTGAATCCTACAAGAGTTCTGAACTTTCTGGAAGGAATATGTGGGCAGAGCATGGTAACACTTTCTGCTCTCTCTGGTTTTTGTAGCTGGTGGGTGACCACGAATGCACAATGAGTATTCATGTGTTTGCAGCCTACTTTGGGCTGATTGTGGCCTGGTGCCTCTCAAGGACTCTGCCTTCAGGATTGGATAAGAAAGCACAAACAGAGAAAGTTCAGATGGCCACGAGCCCCAGTCTGTTTGCTATGCTGGGTAAGAACAATGGGTGGGTGGTTGTCTCCTGCCTGGATTGGGCTGAGCTGCAAGGTTCCAAATGGTTTTGAAAACTCTGCCCTTGAGCCCTGACCCTGAGCGTCTGAGGCCTTTTCCATAAACACCCATGGATTCCAGTAATGTTTTGGAGATCATAGCTTTGAATAACCCTGTGCTTCTAGGCACCGCCCTTCACTAACATCCAGTGGAGAAGAGAAGCTCAACATCTTCGAGTTAAAATAAGTTTATTCAGTCCTTTGGTCTTCAACTGAAAGGAGGGAATTGAACAAGTAAAGAAAGTAGGGGCCAGGCGTCAGTAGTTTATATCTGTAATCCTAGCTACTCAGGAGACTGAGATCTGAGGATCACAGTTTGAAACCAGCCTAGGCAACCAAATCTGAGAGACCGATCTCAAATTAGCCAGCAAAAGCTAGAAGTGGGGAGAGAGAGAGAAAAAAAAAAGAAGGGGGAAGAAGGGAGGGAGGAAGGAAGGAAGGAAGGATATAGTAATTTCTGTAAACAGGGACAGGTGCGAGAAGCAGTCCCAGTGTTGCATTTTGACACAAATGAACTTGGACAGCTGGGAGAGGCTTAGAGGAAATCCGGCAGTGAGCCCCACAGCGGGTGAATGAGAATCAGGACATGGGCCCAAATCACAGATGGGGCGTTTGGAGATTTGGCCTGCTGCTTACTTCCCTAGCCTAAGGACTATGTTGGCTGTCCCCTACCAACCTGAGACACAATGTGTCCGGGGTGATGCAGCTGCCCGGTGACCCCGCCGACACCTGCTAGCTCCAGCCCTCTCTTCTGCTAAAGCTTCGGGGGGCTTGGGACTAGGGAGCAAGAGTGTGGTTTTGGCCTGTGACCCTCTCTGGTTCCCAGGTACTCTCTTCTTGTGGATTTTCTGGCCAAGTTTCAACTCGGCTCTGCTATCTAGTCCCAGTGAAAGGAAGAAAGCCGTGTTCAACACCTACTATGCCCTTGCAGTCAGCACGGTGACAGCCACCGCTGCATCGGCCCTGGCTCATCCCCAAGGGAAGATCAACTTGGTAAGGAGGGTGCCCCCTTGGTGCTCCAGGCCTACTACACACGTGCATACTCACCCCCTACCCTTCAGCCCCATAGAGCAGGGGAAGATCATGTGGGTTGGGCCTTCCTTGTCTGTGATGTCAGGGAGTATGGAAAAGATGTGATGGGTACTCAAATGGCCACTGGTACTTAGGCGGTTTTCAAATGGTTACAGGCTCTCTGAAGAGAGATGGAAATTGATCTGGAGTCAGATCAAGAGTCAATAGAATAGAGTAGAACTTGTCAACCTTTCCTCTTTCCCCAAGCAATTTGAAGAACGCAATTCATGCCAGGTACCAGTAGCTCATGCTGTAATCCGAGCTACTCAGATGTCTGAGTTCTGAAGATTACAGTTCAAAGCCAGCCCAGGCAGCAAAGTCTGGAGACTCTTATCTCTTATTTGGTGGTTACACTGAAAAACCAGAAGTGGAGCTGTGACTCAAATGGCAGAGTGTCAGCGGTGAGCAAAAACAAAGCTACGGTACAGTGCTTAGGCCCTGAGTTCAAACCCAGGACAAGGTGTGGTCCTCCAGGGAGGCAGGAGTAAGTATTAGGTCAGAAAAGCCCAGAAGCTGAGCCTAGGACCCAGGTTTCCAGGGATTGAAGATGCAAGTTAGCGAGGACCCCTCTAGCTCTAGAGGAATAAAAGGACCACATGGCCCAGCAGCAAGGCCTGTTTATTAATCCAGGTCCAGTCACACAGGTGGGCTAGGCAAGAGAAGCTGGTAAGAATAAAAGGGATGCGGGGCTGGGAAGGTGGCTCAGTGGTAGAGCACTTGCCTTGCATGCATGAGGCCCTGGGTTCGATTCCTCAGCACCACATAAGCAAAAAGGAAAAAGCCGGAAGTGGTGCTGTGGCTCAAGTGGTAGAGCGCTAGCCTTGAGCTGGAGAGCTGAGGGACAGTGCCCAAGCCCGAGTTCAGACCCCACGACTGGACCCAAAAAAAAATTTTAAAAAAAGAATAAAAGGGATGCTAGGACCAGTGGCTCACACCTGTAATCCTAGCTGAGATTTGAAGTCAGCTCAGGCAGGAAAACTGTGAGACTCTTCTCGCCAACAAACTACTCAGAAAAAGCCAGAAGTGGTGCTGTGGCTCAAGTGACAGAGTGCTAGCCTTGAGCAAAAGAATTTCACAGTACTCAGGTTCTGAGTTCAAGCCCCAGGACTGGAAAAATAAGATAATGGATATGTTTCTTGGGCATCTTTCTTGTTTTACACCAGATGCTGGGCTAAGAGCCTGATACATGGTAACACCGTCTTTATAAGAATTCTAGGAGGTGCTGGGAAGGTGGCTCAGCGGTAGAGTGCTTGCCTTGCATGCATGAGGCCCTGCGTTCAATTCCTCAGCACCACATTAGCAGAAAAAACAGGAAGTAGTGCTGTGGCTCAAGTGGTAGAGTTCTAGCCTTGACTGAAGGGCTGAGGGACAGCACCCAGGCCCAGAGTTCAGGCCCCACGACCAAAAAACAAAACAAAACAAAACTCTACAAAGGAGAGGTAATATGGATGTCACTCATCTTAGTGCCCGGGGTCACACACCAACAAACACAGTGTGGTAGCCAGGATGACAAGTGACTGCCTCCCCATCTGGGTGATCTCTCCCTGAGCCTGTGAGGGGGAAGGGAGCCATGAATGAAAGTCACTTAGTCCCAGCTGGTGGGAGACGATGGCTTGAGGACCTGCAAAGCAGGAAGAACATGACAGAGTTGCTTTGCTGCCCACGTTGGGAGACACTCTGGGCAAGGTGGTGTCTTCTCTGTGCCTCCACTTCTTCACCCACAAGCTGTTTCTTTGCAGATTCATATCCACAATGCTGTGCTGGCAGGAGGCGTGGCTGTGGGCCCTTCCTGCTACCTGTTTTCCTCTCCTTGGCCCTTCATGGTGCTGGGCCTAATGGCTGGATTGATCTCCATTGGGGCAGCTAAGGGCCAGCCGGTAAGAAATTGGACAGCTAACACCCTCTGCTTTGGCTTAGACCAGTAAGACCCTGTGGGTCTGGTGGGCCATTGTGCTGTGTCAGAGGCTGCATTTGACAGGTGTTGGTTCTTTCTTTCTTTTTTTTTTTTTTTTGGTCCGGTCGTGGGGCCTGAACTCTGGGTCTGGGCGCTGTCCCTCAGCTCTTCAGCTCAAGGCTAGCGCTCTACCACTTGAGTCACAGCGCCCCTTCCCGCTTATTCCTTTTTGCTTATGTGGTGCTGAGGAATCGAACCCAGGGCCTCAGGCATGCAAGGCAAGCGCTCTACCACTGAGCCACTTTCCCAGCCCAGGTGTTGGTTCTTTCTTAAGTTGGGCTTCAAAGCCTGGGTAAATTTGGGTGTTGGTGGCTCACTAGTGTAATTTTAGCTACTTAGGAGGCTGAGATCTGAGGATGGTAGTTTGAAGCCAGCCCAGATACACAAACCCAAGAGATTGTTATCACCAATTAACCAGCAAAAAAGGATCAGTTTGATTTGACCAAAGACAGAGCAGCATGCTTTTCCTGCAGGCTGTATCTTCTTTGTTCTTTACCTTTGCACCCAAAATGGATATATACACAGGAATGAATGGAAATAAGTTCTGCCTCTTCTTCTACTCCACACAGCCATGCTTTCTTGTCTTACTTCCCTTGATTCAATCACTGGTGGGGCACTACTCAAAAATCCTTCATTCATTTATTCCCATTTATGTTTTTGTTTGTGCCAGTCCTGGGGCTTGAACTCAGGACCTGGCCGCTATCCTTGAGCTTTTGTGCTCAAGGGTAGAAATCTACCATGTGAGCCACAGCTCCACTTCCAGCCTTTTCTGGTGCTTAATTGAAGATAAGTTTCCCAGACTTTCCTGTCTGGGCTGGCTTGGAACTGTGATCCTCAGATCTCAGCTCCCTGAGTAGGTAGGATGACAGGTGTGAGCCACCAGTGCCCACTCTCATTTGTGTTTTAATCTTCATTCTGCTTCTCAAGCTACAGTTTAAGAGAAGAGAACTGACAAGCAGCCCAGTGAGAGAACTACTACTACAGGAACATCACTGCGCTTGCTGGGGACGGGACCAGAGCAGGGGATGTCTTAGCTGGACAGTGACATCTGAGCAGCCAGACAGAAAAGTGGGAAATGTGCTTCAAGCTCAGTGCTGGAAGAGCATGTGGTCCAACCACAAACTAGAAAGCTGTTCTTATGACCAAAACCCTGAGCTCAGTAGGGAGCCTGGGCGGAAGGGAGGTGCCTGGAGCATCTCCTGGGTCAGTTAACAAGTCTGGATGTTTATTCTGAAGTCAGTGCCCTGTGCAGGGAACCAGCCTGAGGAAGCTTCATCTCCCGTTCTGGGACCCAAGCTGCTGAGGGGAGATGTGGACAGAGTTCAGTGATGGTGGGCCCATGCTTTCTTTCTGATTTTTCCTCATCAGCCTTGTTGTTTAGAACTAGCACTTACGTGTGGCACCCCAGTGGGATACTCAGCAATGTCTGAAGGTATTCTGGGTTGGCACAATAGGTGGGTGTTGCTGGCATGTAAAAGGTAGATGCTAGGGATGTTGTTCAGCTTCCTACAAAGCAGAGACCAGCCTTCCTGCCCCTCACCCAGAGTATCAAGTTCAACGGTGACAGACCCATGCAAATGCAAGGGAAGTCCATGGACCACAGCATCCATATTGCCTGAGAGTTTATTAGAAATGCAGAGTCCTAAGTCAGGCGCCGGTGTTTCACACCTGTAATCCTAGCTACTCAGGAGGCTGAGATCTAAGGATCTCGGTTCAAAGCCAGCCTGGGAAGGAAAGGCTGTGAGACTCTTATCTCCAATAAACCACCAGAAAACCAGAAGTGGCACTGTGACTCAAGCAGTAGAGCACTCACCTTGAGCTGAAGAGCTGAGGGACAGTGCCCAGGTCCAGAGTTCAAGACCCACGACCAACAAAAAAGAAAGAAAGAAATGCAGAGTCCCAAGCTGGAGGCTGGTGGTTCACACCTATAATCCTAGCTACTCTGGTGGCTGGGATCTGAGGATCCCAGTTCAAAGCCAACCTGGGCAGGAAAGTCCAGGAGACTCTTATCTCCTATGAACTACTAGAAAACTGGAAGTGGCATTGTGGCTCAAAGTGGTAGAGTGCTAGCCTTGGGCAAAAGAGCTCCAGGACAGGGCTCCTGGAGTCCAAGCCCCACAACCAACAAAAAAGAAAAGGATTGCAGAGTCCCAGCTGGGTGCTGGTGGCTCTCACCTGTAATCCCAGCTTCTCAGAAGGCTGAGATCTGAGGATCCTGATTCTAAACCAACCCAGGCAGGAAAGTCAGTGAAGATTTCTATCTCCAATTAACCATCAGAAAACCAGTAGTAGGGCTGGGAATGTGGCTTAGTGGTAGAGTGCTTGCTTAGCATGCATGAAGCCCTGGGTTCAATTCCTTAGTACAACAGACACAGAAAAAGCCAGAGGTGGTGGTGTGGCTCAAGTGGTAGAGTGCTAGCCTTGAGCAAAAGAAGCTCAGGGACAGTGCCCAGGCCCTGAGTTCAAGCCCCAGTACTAGCAAAAACAAAAAACCAAATATCAACAACAACAACAAAAAAACCCATAGAAGTGGAATTGTGACTCAAAGTGGTAGAATGCTAGCCTTGAGCAAACTAGCTCAGGGACAGGACCTAGGCTCTGAGTTCAAGCCCCATGACCACCACCACCCACCACCAACAAGAAGGAAGGAAGGAAGGAAGGAAGAGCAGAATCCCAAACCTTACCAACAAACATACAATCCTTTTTGGCTTTCTTTCTTTGATTGTTCTTTTTGCAGTATTGAGGATTGAATTTAGCATCCACTATTACGTGAACTACAGCTTTCTCCCCCTCCCCCCAGCACTGTTCAGTTTTATTTTATTCTTGAGCTAGGATCTTGTTCGTTTTGTTCAGGCAGCCCTCTAGCTCTTGATCTTCCTGCCTCCGCCTCCTGAGTAGTTGGGATTACAGGAATGAACCACCACACCTGCTTCCTTCATCTGCATTTTAAACAAGTTTTCTGGGTTTATGAATGCACCTTCAAGATTGAGATGGCGGGCTGGGAATGTAGCTCAGTGGTAGAGTGCTTGCCTATCATGCGTGAAGCCCTGGGTTCCATTCCTTAGTACCACATAAACAGAAAAAAGCCGGTAGTGGCATTGTGGCTCAAGTGGTAGAGCACTAGCCTTGAGCCAAAGAAGCTCAGAGACAGTGCCCAGGCCCTGAGTTCAAGACCCATGACAGGCAAAAGAAAAGATTGAGATGGCTTCTTTAGGCAAGCCTTGGTATTCACCCCTCTTTGGTGGCCAAGGGTTTGTGCAAAGGGTGGAGGGAGGACATGGGTCCGACACGCACATCCACTGATAATGTCTTCTGTCCCCAGGTGTGTTTCAGCTGTGTGCTGGAGATTCAGGACGCCAGTGGCGTGCACGCCACCTTCGGCTTGCCGGGTCTGCTCGGAGGCTTTGCCTACGTGGTGATGATGGCATATCATGCCTACTGGAATTCCTTGTAGGTGGCTTGCCCCTCCCTTAACACCCCGTCCAACTCAGTGAGAAAGGCAGCGCAGCTCCGGGGAGGGGCCATTCCAGCTAGACAGAGATGGAAAAGACAGAGCTGGGGCTGGGGTGTGCCATCCAGAAGAGGGATACAGCTTCTGGGACCTCTAGATTGATGATCCCTCATGCCGGTTCTGTGTGAGTGAAGCACGCTCCTCCTCCCTCCTTCCACAATCCCATGTGATACGGATGTCACCATTTCTACACTGTATGGGGAGGAATCAGTAGGGATGTGAAATGATTGGATGAGATCACACAGCAATTGGGGGGGGGTCCCTCCTGCAGGCTCCCACCTAGGCCTTCTGTTTGCTTTCCTTTTTCTCTTTCCTTCTTTCCTTCCTTCCTTTTCCTTCCTTTCCTTCCTTCTTTACTTACTTACTTCCTTTTTTCTGATAGGGACTCACTATATAGCCCAGACTGGCCTCAAACTATGTAATCCTTCTGCCTCACCCTCCCAGGTGCTGGGATTACAAGCATGTACTACTATACTTGGCTTTTTTTCCCCAAAATGGGCACACCAGCTGCCCACCCACACATGGAGCTGCTCAGAAAGGGCTAGTGGTTTACAGCACAGTCCAAAGCCTGGGAAAATCACTCAGCATCCATCCCAGGCCTCCTAAAAACTTTGATTTTTTTCCCTGGCTTGAAAAGAGAGATAAGACTGGGAAGTATATCCTAGGGGTAAGGGTATGCAGGAAAGATAGGTCTAAAAGCCAAGCTGTATCGCACCTTCCCTGAGAAAAATGAAGCTTTTATCTTGGTTTAATGATCACACAGCTAGTAAGCAACAGCTCTGAGTGGCTGATCTAGCTTATTAGCCATGGAGTCTAAGGATTCAAATACAGTATGACAAAAAAAATTAGCATGGTAGCACACTTATAATTCCAGTTATTTGAGAGGCAGAAATAGGAGGATCATGGTCCACAGCTGGCCCCATAAAAAGTGAGGGACTATCTGAAAAGCAGAACTAAAATGAAATGCACTAGAGATGTGACAAGAACAAGGCTCTGAGTTCATATACATGGGGCTGGGAAGGTGGCTCAGTGGTAGAGCGCTTGCGTTGCATGCATGAGGCCCTGGGTTCGATGCCTCAGCACCACATAAGCAGAATTATATATACATACATAGAAATCCGTGCCAAAGAAGGTCCCGGGGTTCCCACCCTCCCAGCCTCCTTGCTGCAGGGGATAGAGCAGCTGGAGAGAGGACACTCAGTGCCCCCATGGTCCTCCTGGCCTGGCACCACTGATGCCACAGGCCCTCTTGTACAGCCTGGCATGACCCTGTGCTTCTCAATTTCTAGGATTGGCTACCAGTTGCTGATTTACATAGGGCAACTCAACTTGGCTGTGGCGATGGGTATGGCTTCTGGTCTCCTCACAGGTCTGTATGATGCCACCTTCTTCCAGAGGTGCCTCAGATGCAGGGCCAGCGTGCCTCCTGCCCAGGCTGCTTGTATATGTGGCCATCTTTGTCCCTCAGCTCTAGCTGAGTGCTTAAATCTTGAGAGTTTTAAAAAAGAAAAGCAGAGAATCACATCATTTCACCACTGGAAATGCTCCCAGGGGTTACCTGCGGCTGACGTGGCCTCTGAGGACAGGGAAGGTGGGGGATATCTCTCGAGGTCTAAGTGGGGCTAAGTGACATTGCTGTAGTTCTTGAATCCATGGAGGGTGATTGGGTCCATTTTTATACAGAAGGCCAAGAACCACTCTATCTGGATTACAGCCCACCCCAGCCCCCTTTGTGTTTGCACTGGTTCTAGGATTTGAATTCAAGGCCTAGATGCTGTTTCTTAACTTTTTTGCTCAAGGCCAGTACTCTACCGCTTGAGCCACAGCTCCACTTCTAACTTTTTGCTGGTTAATTGAAAATTAGACCTTGCCTGGGTTGGCTTCGAATTGAGATCCTCAGATCTCAGCCTCCTGAGTAGCTAAATGACATCAGCCCCCCTCTGATTAGCATTTTCTTTCCTGAGAACTCCCTACTTTATCCAACCAGTGTTTATCCACTACCTTCCAAAAGCCAAGGACTGAGGATGTAACAGGAAACAAAACAACCTTCCTGACCTGATAGAGCTGACATTCTAGCCAGGGAGCATACTGACCGCAGACAGTCATGGTACAGGTGCTTTGGAAGCAAAGCAGGATCCAGAACCTATGAATAAAGTCAAAGTGGGGTAGGGTGGGTTTTCTTTTAGAGGGTCAGTCAGGGAAGGCTTACCTGAGAAATCAACTTTTAAGTAGAGATCCAAATCAAGAAGTGTAAGCCATGCTTTTATTTACAGCAAGAGTGAAAAGGGGACTGCAAGTGCAAAGGCCCTGAGGCAAGATATGCTGCATGTGTTTGCGAAACATCATGGAGGCCTGAGGGGCTGCTGTGGATGGAATGAGCAGCGAGGGGCCAGTAGCCAGTCATTCCGAAAGAAAAGTCCCTGGAGCTCTCAGATAGCGAATGAACATGTTCACGCTCTGGCAGTGTAACTGACAGCAGGAAGCCCATCTTGTTTAACATGGCTGGTGAAGACATGCATCTGCAGAACATGCATCTACAAGCAAATGTCTGTTGCCGGTTACAGAGTCTTACACTGCATCACTAGGCAGGAGGTTTGACTGGAGGTGTGGCTCAAGTCCCAGTACCACCAAAAAGAAAATGTGTGACTTTAGGCACATTACTTAACTTCTCTTGGCCTGTTTGCTCCTTTGCAAAATGAAACCCTTTGGCTACTTTTTCACATTAAAAAAAAAAGAAAAAATCTGAAGAGTTGGTTGCCAGTGGCTCACACCTGTTAGCTATATAGGAGACTAAGATCTGAGGATAGTGATTTGAAGCTAGCCTAGGCAGGAAAGACAGTGAGACTCTTATCTCCAGTTAACCAGCCAAAAGCTGGAAATGGAGCTGTGGCTCAAGTAGTAGAGCACCAGCCTGGAGTGAAAAAGCTAAGGGGCAGTGACCAGGCCCTGAGTTCAAGCCCCAGGACCAACACACACACACACACACACACACACCCTGAGTTCAAGCCCCAGGACCCACCCACACACACACACACCCTGAGTT